GTCACAACCCAACTCGGTAAGACCCAATAAAGGGTCATATCTTATCATGTTGAGCTATAACAAGTAAATCCCATGATATAATTTTGAATTTTTTTTTTTCAGATTTTATCATCTAATTTAAACTTTTAAAATTACAACATAATATAAAACTACTAAAATATCTAAACAACTAAAAGTAAACTCATCCAAAAGATTTAATTTTCCTTTATCATCAAAATGATATATGCAATCATATGGCATGGCAATAAAAAAGCTACATGACAAAGAAATAAAGCAGGCCATAACTGAGCAAAAATCAAAAGAACAAATTTCCATAGACTAAGATTAGATTACTGGAACTATTACTTAATTTAGTATTTCCCTTTTCCAAACCCTAAAAAAAAATATGAAAACCATAGTGAGCTAAAACAACTTAGCAGGCCATATTTCAACTAATTTAAATTTTAACCATTTTATTTATTAAACATTAATTGAATATTAAAAGTGAAATTGAATAGAGAATTAAATGTAGTTATAAAAAATTTAAGCAAAATACACAAGCACTTAAATATTTCCCTCCCAATATATAAAGTTCAATAAATCTAACTCTTATGCCCCCCCACATAGACAGAGTTCAATAACTCTGAGTTTAACAACTATGAATAACTTACAAAGTTAAAAAACTCTTAGTAACAGACAGAGTTCAATAACTTTGAATTAGAATATGAATATATCATCCAACAATAACTTCTTCTACCCCTTTTAGATTTTCATAGAATCACATATTTTAACTAATTAAGTAGATATTTTAATAAATAGTAGTTAATAATTTATAAGCGAATATATTTTAGAATTTGCTAAAATGTTATAAGAGTGGGCAACATAAAACCCCACTAAGAAAACTACACATTTTCAAAAAATTATTCAATTTACCAGATATTGTGTAGAGCATTATTTTAATACTTTAATTGCATTGCAATATTATTTTTTAGAGTCTAAATTATTTTTTCATTTATTAAAAATTGTATAAATTTCTTCCCTCCTATAAAATTTGAAGAAATTTTTTAGAAATTATTTAAAATATTACAGATTTTATTCTCTATAACATATTAAAAGTTAAGCGTCAAAAGTTTAATCAAAATAAAGTTATCCCTATTTTTTGATAATGGAGTTATAATTTAATAAAAAAAAATAAAAAATAATCATCTTTTTGAAAAGTGTGATAGGAAAAACATGACCTACCTCGAGATGAACAAATTTTTCAACTGGATCTGGCAAAAATGGCTCTATGACATATAATACCTACTTTTTTTTTCTCTCTTCTATTTTCTCTCATTTTTTTAATTCATGTTTCCTGGCTTGAAAAAATGAGAAAAAATAAAAATTGGATTTTGATGAGTTATGTAAAGTGGAAATAGATTTTTATAAAATAATAAAGAAATAACATATTGGTAATTGTTCTAATTATTTCATTTTTAGTATAAAATTCATATAAATATTTTTATACCTTCAAATATGGGGATTAAAAAATTTTGAAAAAAATTATTCATAAGTCAGCTAAGCATATCTAAAATGCTATGACAAAAATTGGTTTGCAAACATATACCTAACAATCCCAAAAACCCACTTGCATCGACATTTATCAGATTTTTAAAGAATTAGCAATGCCCAAAATTAGAAAAAGTTATTATAATTAGAGCATAATATCTATGTTTTGGCTAAGATGATTTGTTATTTAGATTTATAAAGACTTCTAAAATATTTTTTTTATTATTTTAGGTCAAAACATGTCTTTTAAAATTTAAGGTTATTACGTTATGGTCCCTCACCTCCATTGCCCGACTATGATCCTTTTGATCCAAGTTGCAAGACTATTGTCCATGGACCATTGTCTCCAAACTACAATCGCTATAACCTCTGTCTCATAACTACAGTCCCTCCAATCACTTTCACCTGACTATGGTTGCTCTGAGCACTATCGCCTGACTAGAGTCCTACCGACCAAATGAATAGACCAACGTTCTCTTTAGAACATCTCTCATGTCATTGGATTCCTCCAACTCCAAATATATAATGTGCTTTATATGATGTATATTTACTATATTGAGCCAATGCCTTCCCTCGTAGAAATACATCATTTGTAACAAACAACAAACACTAGTGAAATCATTTCAACTAGGTCAGACCTCGTGGTTTTCCCCTTTTCAAAAATTTACACGTAAAATTTTTGACGTCTCTTATGATTTTTACACCTCTCTCTCTTATTTGTCTATGTGTTTAATATTCATACAAAGCTAGGACATTAGACACTTGATCTCTCTATCACCGGGAATATTCTGACATGCAATAATATTAATTCTTTCATTAGTTTAGTTTACATTTCTTCTTAATTTTAATTTATTGTGTTATACTATGTTATATTTGATGTGTTATATATGTTATGACTATTATATTATATCCCTTCAATCATTTTGCTTACTCTATTATATCAATTATGTACTATGCTCTATTATATTCATGTTCTATTTATGATCGAATGAATTTGAAATCATGGACAAATAATCATCAAATCATAATCGAACAATGCTCGAATCATAATTGAATAATGCTCAAATCATAATCGATCAATGTTTGAAGAATCTTTAAATGATGATTGTGCATTGATTAAATCATATCTAATCAAAGTTCAAAGTAACATTTGAACATATATTGATTCATACTTAGCCTATTTTAATTTTGAGCAAACTATCATAGATTATATTATCATGATTATTAAACATGGCAAGGATATAATTAATTGGAATATTATTCCATTAAATATTCTAATAAGATTTTTTTGCTAGGAAAATTTATGGGATTAGCCAATTAAGTTACTAATAAAAACATTACAAATAGAAATCCCAAATGTGGGAAGACAAAAATAGAAAATTGCATATGAAAAAGCCAAACCAACATATAACAAAAACCATGCAATAGATAGATAAAAAGGCAAGTGTAGGAGAAACCACCCATCCACACTAATAGCTAGACTCATGAAATAAATAAAAGATTTCCCAAAATAGATAATCACTAATCGAAGCAAATGTCCAGCCTAGTTGCCATGGCTGGAAGGCCATCCACTTGTGCAATCAACTAGAAAAAATAAAAATCCCCAATTAAAAATCGACAAAAATTACTGTAGTATGAACCAAAAAGAGTACCACAAGAGCAAAGAAAAATTGTAGACTTAGCCAAAAGGAGCACCACAGTTGCCAAAACCACACCACGACCTTCCAGGGTTGGCTGCAGGAAATGAGCTTCATCATAGTCCGATAAAAAAAAAAAAAACACAACAACTACAACAAATATAGACAACAAGATCAAACACCAAAACAACTGAAAAAGGGCAATAAATCATTAATAAATAAAGTGTGAAAATTCATCAAAGTGTTGCCAACACAAAGTCTTAGCCTTGATGGCCTTATTTATGTTAAGTAAAAAAGTATTGTGACAAACAAAGAAACTAATATACCTTTTCACATTTCTTTCATGCCAAATGAAGTTGATCATGACACAAGAAGGGCAGTAAATCATTAATAAATAAAGTAAAATTCATCAAAGTGTTGCCAACACAAAGTCTTAGCCTTGATGGCCTTATTTATGTTAAGTAAAAAAGTATTGTGACAAACAAAGAAACTAATATACCTTTTCACATTTCTTTCATGCCAAATGAAGTTGATCATGACACAAGTAGCCAAATAAAAAAAAAAAAGCTCTATATTTTCTCATTTAGCACTTCAAATATTGACATGCTTTGTAATATTTTGAAATTGCCTTCTGGTGAGTGTATTTTTAAATATTTAGGGGTCCCTATCTCATCGAGAAGGCTTAGGGTCTCTGATTTTCAACCCCTCATGCAAAAAGAAATCATTTATATTGGATGGTTGGAAAGCTAAGCTTATCTCTTTTACTAGGAGATTATAGTTTGTTAGATATTCTATATGGAACTCTATTGTATATTATATTATAGGCTCAATTATACCTAAATCTTATGGCAAGTTTATTGATAAGTTATGTGCTAGGTTCATCTTTCATGGTGACACCAAGGATAAGAAGCTCCACATCATTTCTTAGAAGAACACTTGCTTACTCAAATTTTGTGGTGAGGCTGGTTTCCCTTCCATTAAGGCTCTATGTCATGCTTACTTTGCCTCCCTTATCTAGAGACGCCTTAACTCTAATTTTTTGCGTAACATTTGGTTTAAAAACTCTTACATCTCTTTTTGGAAGGCAGTTATTGGGAAAGTTTCTTCCTACTGGAAACATTTGTACATGGTAGCTTCCTTAATTATGCAAAATTTTTCTTTCAATATACATGACAATAGTAGCCAGTCCCTTTGGTGGGACCCTTGGTGCTTAGTGTAATCCTTAGTTGATATGATTCCCTCGTCTTATAATATTGATCCCTTTAATGTGTCTGTTGTTGATATTATTCGCTATAACAAGTGGTGTTTCCCTTCTTTATTTCCTTATTATCTTAAACAACATACATTTAAGATTCAAATTCATACCGATTTCCTTATTATCTTTATGGTGTATGAATGAAAAGCCTAATTTTTCATCATTTATGGATGACTTTTAAAAGGATTTGTAGAAGGTGTTTTGGCACACCTTTATCTCATAAACGTCATTCAATTCATTTTTCTGCATGTAATTGAGTGGTTCTGGTTAATGTTGCCGAACTTATTAAAAGAAGTATTCCTATTAATCTTATTTGTAATCTTTGTTTCAATCATCCTGAAACTGTTTCTCATATTTGTATTTTTTCTTTTAAAATTCTTAATGATTTATTCCCCTGGTCGAAGATTTTTCTTTTTAAACCTTCTATTTTTCAGTTTTTTTTTATCAAAAATAAAAATAATACTGATGTCAAAAAATGCTAAGAAATATCATAAAAATATCGATGGTAAATAAAAAATAAAAAAACGACATCGTATTTCCCCATGACAATAAAAGTCAAGTTTCACTTCAAAAATCAAAACCTATACGGTGTAGACCCGCATCCGCATCGGTAAAACGTCTTCTCGTCACCACCGAGATTTTTTCTCTGCTCGGCTCTCTACTAAATTTCTAGGGTTCCAACTGGTTTCTCCTGACAAAGGTGAGATGGATTTCGACGAGTATGAGTATTTGGAAAAGACGGTGGAGAATCTGGACTCCCTGAAGAAGGATTCCACTAACGGACGCAGCGCGGCGAGGTCCGAGGATAAGGATCGAAGTCGGAGCTCAAAGCACCGCGACGACGGCCATCACCGATCGAAACGGGCCAAGTCGGAGGGCGAAGGTGATGGGCAGAGGGATAGGGAGTCGTCGAGGCACGGGGCGAGTGATCGGCATCGGAGGGAGAGAGAGCCCAGGGAGGAGAGGAATGGGAGGGATAATGAGAGGGACAGAAAGAGGGTTAGTGAGAGGGAGAGTGACCGGGCTCGGGAGGGTGACCGGGCTCGAGAGCGAGAACGGGATCGGCCAAGACGCAGCAGTAGTCGTTCGGAGAGGCATGTTGATGATGAGCGAGATCGTCACAGTGAAAGGAGCAAGGAGACGGAGCATTCGAGAAGCAAGGAGACGGAGCATTCGAGAAGCAAGGAGACGGAGCATTCGAGGGACTTTAGGGAAAGAGACCACCGGGATCCCAGGTGCAGTTGACGCACTTTCTTTCGTCATTTCTTTTTCATCATATGCATCATTTCGTGTGTATAATGAACCTGAAAGCCTGCTATTGGCACTTCAGAAGGCTGTAATATTTCAAGCGGTAGTTCTAAACCATTAGCTGAGAATTGATAGCCTGGAGTTAGAACGCTGCCTCCAAACATATCAGTACTGAAAGAAATGTAATGAAATTCCAATCTTTTATGCTGCCCACATTAGCTTGTTGGGATCTTAGGCTCCCGAAAAAGAGTTCCTGGGTTTGATGCCTTGCATATGTGTGTGAGTTTGAGATGAAATTCGCTAAAAAAATCAATTATTTTATGGATCTTTTGTGACTCTGTAGTAATTGATTTGAATCTATCAATCCATTTTTATCTCCCATTTACTCAAATTCTCATCATCAAAACATTTCATTAGTTTTTGTTTAATTTGTGGTCTATCTTCACCACTTAGTTTTTTTTTTCCGTAAGAGTTCAGGTGCTAATTTTTACTTGATCATTTTTCTTTAATGTAAATACTTGTAATCAATGGCATATTCAGAAGCTGTCTACGTCAAACTTCATTTTATAAAACTCTGGTTCCGAAGTTGGTTTTACAGGTACATTCTCTTGCTGAAGTGGTCTGCAGATGTGTGGTACTTGGGAGATTCATGGAATTAATTTTTTCATTTTATTTTTTCATAGAAGTCAAGTGCAAAGGCTGCTTTGAGATGATTTTATTGCATGCTGTGGCCCGAAGTTTGATTTGCTGAGATGTCATTAGGAGTTAGCTGTCAGTTTCTTCATAAAAGCCAATACTTAGATAAAAAAAGTAATTCATTTTAGAACGTAGCACGGCCGGTTGAATCTTGCACCAATGGACCCTCTTTTCAGGGAAATTGACTATTTCTTAACTCCCTTTTATTGCATTTATTTTTTGAAACAGAAGTCCCAAATACAATTGTTTTTGCATGGAGACTAGAATTCATAATTTTACTCAAGATAGCATAATAAGGTAGGCTATTAAAATTCAAAATATTAGAAATGATCATGAGGGAATGTAAAACTAATTCGTTGTTCTTTCTTCACTAAATGGGATAGTGATGCTCCCCTGGCTGCGTACTCATTATCTCCTTGCACATGTACTATTTTCAAATGAGTTTTTATCACAAAATTAAACAGTAGCAACACAATATTGTGAGTTCACTAAGTAAATGTGAGTGGTTAAGGCTCATATCCTTAGCGAGTTCTTAGGCATGCTCTCCGTGAACTTCTAGTATTTCTTTGGAATATCAATCAATGTGTTTTATTAATTATTTGAATTAATGGTGTTGCCTAGAGAATTGAAATAAAAATTTAGTTTTCATATTCCCAAGTTTTAGTACCTGTAGTCTATCATTGCCTATCTAAAGTTCATTTTATCATACCGAAGAAGTAAAGTGATGGATATGGAGCTTGTTATGGATAAAGCACAACAATATCAGTTTTGCTATTGAGATGGTTAATAATCTTGGACATTCATAGAAATTGTAGCTGCAATTTTAAATTCTTCAAGAATACAGACAACGCCTGGACTTTTTGCACTTTGCAGCATTTCATGTGGAAAGATCTAATGAGTGCTGTGCAAATCTTTCCAATCTGTTAGGTGGAGCAATAATATATTGGCTTTAAACATAGGTTTGTATGGTTTGTACAAAGTTTGACATTATATAGCTTACACTGGATTAACTCTTAATTGGTATTGAGTATCAATGATCTTCAATAGATTGAAATAATTTATTTCTGGGAAGTAAACAGAGGTTGCTTAATAATCATCAAATATGTGCTCTACCTGAGACATTCCCATGCTGCAACTATTTACTTAACTGTACATCATCTGCATTTTCATTGATAATTTGCTAAGTAGATACGGGGAATTTGGATTGCATTATTTTCCTTTCTCTGATGGATGCTAGGGAGCCAATGAAATTTTGCAGATCCTTTTGGGTTTCTGATGCAGGACTAATTAGGTGACATGCTTATGGCTTCATTTTAAGCATTGCACAATTCTTTGATTAGGATAATTTAGGATTAAAATTATTAGCAATTCTCAACGTCAATTAAAACAATTAAAGAGGCGCTTTGCGTAGGCTAAATCACATGCTCCAAGTTTTGAAATTTTTAAAATAAGTAAGACAAGTAAAACAATGCAAAGTAGTAGTCTTCAATGTAATCCTTAATCTAACAACGAGAGTTAGGATGCATGGAAAGCACACTCAATCCCTACGAATCACTAAGCTTAGCAAGATCACTTGGAGGAGACTTTCGCAATGACAATCTAACCAATTGAGAACTTGGATTTAGAAGAAATTGAATGCAAGTGGGAAAGAGAAAACCTTTGCTTAAGGGGATGTTGCGATCCTCCACTCGATGCCTTCGAGGTGCTCGTCAATAGATCCCGTCATTCATTGATGCTTGGAAGTAGAACCTCCTCGGTCTTTGATCCGTCTCGCAAGTGGTGGCAATAACTAGCTCCACTTGTCCTCCCACAAAATCTGAATATCCCTTTCAGAAATTCTAGAAAAGGTTTCAGGTTTTCCCCTCAAAATCTGATAAGAAGTTTAGCTCTCAATGATGGGAGAAGAGGGTTAGAAGGGATAAAGGTATGGCTGTGAACAATAAGAGATGAGATGTGGAGAGAAATTGTGAAAGGGAGGGGAGATACGGGTAACAGCGGGAAGACAAGTGTTGGGAGGCAAAACAGAGAAGAGGAAACAAGAAAATTACTTTATTTCCAAAAGGAATATGACACTTAGGCAATAAAATAATCCAATCCAGGTGAGAGGAAAATTGGAGGATGGGTGGAGGGTTTTGGAAGCTCGACGAGGAGGTGATGATAAGATAAAGAAGATAAAACCACGAACCCGGCCGTCTCTAAGGTTGGTGGGTGATACGCCAATCTCCCTCTCCAAGGGATCTCTCCAAAACTCTCCAAGAACTCTCAAAGGCTCTCAAACACAAGTGCAGGAAAATTTTCTCATAATCATTCATTAAGCATAATAGAATAAAGTGGGGCTTTAAATAGCCTCTTACAACATGACTCGAAACAAAGACACAAACGCCCTTTGGGCTTACATACGACAACTCCCATAAGAGGGGTACTACGAGAAAGAAAACACTTAAGCAACTAAATAAAATAAAAAAAATACAACGGCTCACAATGCCACATAAGCAAATAACAAGCTACATGAAAATAAAAATACATCAACGACTCAAAAATATAAAGACTGGATCGTGGCCGTAGATCGGCGGCCGCGTCTCTGATAAACTCTCCATGATGATCTGATGTCCCCATCAGTTTCCATGGGAAAAGATCTTGCATGAACTTGCTAATGGGAGCTATGCTTGCTTACAGTAATCTTGTAGTATTATAGGAACCATAGAATATTCAGAATGACTCAATTCGTCATAGTTGGTTCGGTTAAAACTTGTAACTTCATCAAAATTTTCAAGCTAAAAGTAACACAAATGCATGCATTTCCCTTCTTCAGCATTCACAAGCTTTTGTTTTATGAGAGGAGTCTTCACCTTAGGTGCTTTTATAGCTAATTTTTGATAGAGTTTCCCAGCTAATGGTGGAGGAAGGTGAGCTGATTTTATGATTCATGGATATTTTAAAGGTATCCATATGACGATTTCAATGCTTTAAAAGTATCCATTTATTTGGACAAAGATATATGGAGTATGTTCTATAAGAGAATCACATAAGTATCCATTTATTTGAAAATGATCCATTCATATAAAAAATTGAACCAATACAATCGACAAGTAGCTCAATGGTTGTTCATTTAAGGCCCATTTATGCATTTTTATTAAGATATTTGAACAAGTTCTATAAATTGACCTACTGTTTGATTTATGTTTGTTAGCATTTTTTTTTGGAATCAAAAGCCTTTTTTTAATGTTTATGGTTCAATCAATTATTTAATGACTCCTCAACTTTCGTTCATTTAACACACTTAAAACGAGGCATAATAATAGAGTTACAAGTATGATGGAAGTTTATGTGGACCAAATAGTTTAATTCATCAATTTAATTTAAATTTTTTATATTAACATTTGAATTTCTATAAAGATAAAAATAATTATGATTCTCATGTTAATTTTAGTGGCCTATTATTTAGTATAATTATGCTAGCTAATGAAGTTACGTGATTAAATTAGTAGTTTCTAAAGTATATTTAATTAGACACTCTCAAGGGCATAAATGAGTTAAGTCAAGCTCTATTCACCCATGACTTATGCTTGACTAATTAATCATGCTTGAGCTCAAGTCTAAGTGTTCAAACCTAGTCATTACTATGAAATTAAGAAGATGATTCATATTTAAATAGTTGAAGCAATACAATGATTAAAAATAATGAGAAACTAGAGGAAATTATTTTACCTCCATTGTCTGCCTATTGTAGCCATCGCCACCTGCAATCACTCTTTGTCTGCCATTCGATGTCCTTGTCATCATTGTTTGTCGGCCATTTTCTGTCGCCATCGCAATTCCACCCATTATTGGCCTTAGTCGGTGTAGACTTTGAAAATTTATGCCCGGTTCTTTTAAGAGTGTTTGTGTTCTATAAGAAATTTTTAAATGACAAATCATAATGAAGATAAACACTACCTAGAGATTTTGCTCTCATTTTATGAGGATTTTAATATATAGTTCTATGTTTCCTTTAGGTGCAAGCACTGGTGATTAATTTCTCTTCTGGGTGACGTTAAAGTCTTTTGATTAAGGCTAATCGTCAGATGCTAAATGTTTAACATACAATAGTAGCAATTTGGCTTAGATTGAAAAATTTATAATTGTAAATTAGAGCGAATGGTGGGTGGAATCATGACGAGCCTGATTAAAATCCCATGATTCCATCTTATTGGGTTGTCATCGACCATGATCTACTTTTTTAGCAAAGGTAGTCGACCCATTATGGATGAAGGATTCTTGTTGGGAACTATGAGTTGTGTCATCCAATAGAACCTTATAAACTTAGGATGAATGTTTGTTTAAAGGGATAAATTTATATTAACCTTGGCTAACATGCTACTTTATATCTTATCAAATCCATCTTATGATGCAAATACATCTTTGATTCACGACTCATGGTTTCTAATCTATTGTAAAACTTATAAGCTTTGGTTGCGACCGTAATTTAATGGTGCAGTTTTGTGATAAAACCGCCCATTCAAGGTTATAATTATTTACTTCATGTGCCATTTGTTGGAAAGTTATTAGTTAGAAAACTCGTGACATATTTTATTGATGAGTGATCATTTGAGAGTGAAGATACTGATGTGCTTGGCAATAAATTGACCCTTTGTTGGCTTCAGTTATTCTTAAATTTGTCACTCTTAACAAATAGTTATAGAGGGTGGATGACTTGTTGCTTTACGTTTTTGGGAGATATATTTTACTTGATATTTTATGATTTATACTTTTCTTTTTTGAATTTTTATAATTTTGTCTAGATGTGGCCTCGAAATAATATGCTTTGGGATATGGTGGTATTTTGAAAGTAGTATCCTCTTTAGTTGATATTTGCTTTCAATATGACCATTACTAGGGTTTGGAACGCTTTCATTTTTTGTTGCAGTCGGGATTGTCAAATTTGCCGACTTGTTTATAGAGGATTGGATCCATAATTAACATTCACAGTTGCATTTGAAATGCAAAATATTAGTATAAGTGTTGGGTTCTTGTATTTGCTTGGTTGAAAATTTTTGTTTCAATTAGCATAGTGATAATTTATCAAGAGGTTGAAGTCTTGTGAACTTCATTCTTGGGGACACATAGGATAGAAATTCGGAGGGGCTTGTGACCTTGTCCTAGAGGTAGGGTGGCTTGCTCGGAAATCCGGTAAAATTGAGAGCTTGAATTTATACAAAAAAGAGTTTGTTAATTAAAAAAAAGAAAGATTTTTTCTCATTTTTCAAAAGACTTGCATGATTATTGGTGTAGGTTGAGTTTAAATTAAATCTTATTTTTAATCCGTGCATCAATCTTATACTTTTTGTTTAGCTGTTTAACATGTTTATTTGAGCACATACAAATATATTGGTTTTAACAATTATCCCTTCAGATGGCATGCACATCTTTTCGATGGATTGCGTAGTACATTTTTATGATTCACATTACATTTGCTTGCTTTTTGATATGCTTATATGATGCAATTGCACACTTTTCAATAATATACTTGCTCACTTTTCGATTTGCTTATATGGTATACTTGCACACTTTTTTGGGTTATTTGACTAGTGTGTTTGTATGCTTTTCATTGTACTTGCACATTTTTTGATACGCAGTCATGGTGCTCTTGCACACCTTTCAATATGCACAATGTAGTTGCATGCATTTTGATGCGCATATACGTCGCACTTGTGCTTTTTTTGGTGCATTTGCATTGTGTGCTTGCATGCCTTTCGATGTATTTGGAAGTTGTTGGAATGGTGGCATGCTTCTTTGAGTTGTGCACGCTACTCAAGATAATGTGATTCTTTTTGAGGTGGATGCACGGAATTATATTGGAATGCATGCATTATTTAAATGTATTAGAATTTTTATTATTTGTGTGCACATATGTTGTTGAAATGCACATAAAGTTTCATTTTAAAATTTAAAAGGATTGCCTTTTGCTTTATGTCTACTTGTGTTTAGGTGTTGTGGGTTTGTGGCATTTGTGAAGAATTAGAATTCTTGCCACATTTTTTATGTTGCCAAAATTTCATTTTCATATGATTATAATATAGTGTGGCGAGCCTTGGGGTAATGATTTTTTTTAATAAATAGGGACGCTTCCTTGTTCATTTTTGCGATTCAAGTTCACCATGCGGGTTTTTGGGAGTTCTGAGTTATTTGAGAGGGCTCTATGAGTGGAGGTAGGCTCTAGTTCAACTTGTAGGCAAGCATCCACGTTCATTACAAGTCCCTTGTACATTTTGTTATAGGTCAGTGTTTGTGTTCAATTTTGGGCCTTGTAATTTACTTGAAGAACTTTTCAATGAAAATTGTGAGAATACGATTGACTTTAGTGAGCTTAGCACCCTAAATGAAAATAGAGATTTTTGTTTTTATTGTCGTATTAGTAAAATCGAAGTTAGAGAGGCTTTAAAGAAAATGAAGTGTGGAAAAATTGTTTGACCTGATGATATTTTAATAGATGTTTGGAAATGCTTAAGAGAGGATGGAATTTTTTGACTTACAAAAAATTTCAATATTATTTTGAAGACTAAAAAGATGCCAGATGAGTAGAGAGAGTGTGTTGATTCCTTTTTGAATAAAGGTGATACACGAGTGTGAAAATTATAGAGGAATTAAGTTAATGCATCATACTTTAAAACTTTGTGAGAGAGTTATTGAGCATAGGTTACTACGTGATACTAATGTTTCTCAAAATCAATTTGGATTTATGTCGGGTAAGTCTACTATGGAAGCTATGCGTTTATTGAGAGTTTTGATGGAGAAGAATATGGAGAATAAAGAGGATTTGCATATGATATTTATTGATTTAGAGAAAGCTTATGATGGAGTTCCAAGAGAAGTGCTATGGAGAGTTTTATAAAAGGAATGGGTTAATAATGCTTATACTCAAGTCATTAAGGATATGCATGTAGGAGCTGTTACTTGTGTTCAAATACAAGGATGTTGGACCTATTATTTTTCTATTTTAGTTGGATTACATCAAGGATCAGCTTGAAATCCATATCTTTTTTGCTTTACTCATGGATGTTCTTACTAGACATTTACAGGAGGATGCACCATGGTATATACTTTTTGGTGATGACATTCTTCTTGTTGATAAGACTAGAGAGGGAGTTGAATATATACTTGAATTATGGAGGTCAAATTTAGAGTCTAAAGGTTTTTGTTTAAGTAGATCTAAAATCGAGTACATTTAGTGTAAATTTTGTAGTAATAGATCTAATGGGAGGATTGTGACTTTGGACAATCAAATCATTAATAAGAGTACACATTTTAGATATCTTTGATCTATATTGTTTAGAGTGATGGTGAAATAGATGGGGATATTATTAGTAGAAATCAAGTTGGATGGTTGAAGTGGAGGAATGCATCGGGCTTGTTGTGTGATAGAACCCCCTCCCCCCCTCTCTCTCTCTCAAACTTAGGGAAAATTCGATAAGATGGTGATGAGACCTGCAATGCTTATTATGTAGAATGTTGGTCATTAAAAAAGAAGCATAATATTAAATTAAGTGTTGCAGAGATGATGATGCTCAGGTGGATGAGTGCTTTACTCTTAGAGAAAGGATACAAAACGAGCATATATGTGAAAAGGTTGGAGTAGCTCTAGTGGAAGATAAGATTAGAGAGAAAAATGTTCGATGGTTTGGTCACATAAAACAGTGGCCTTTCGATAACCCGGTTAGGAGAGTAGATATATTAAATTTGATCTATGTTAAGAGATGTAGAGGTAGACCTAAAAAACTCATTTAGAAAATGTTTAAAATGACCATTTTTTTTAGATTTAAATGAGAAATTGACTCTTAACAAAACACTGTGGAGAAAAAGTATCCATATAGCCGACCCCACGTACTAGGATAAGGCTGGATGTTGTTGTTGTTGTTTACTTGATGTGACGGAATCACATTATAGTATGTTATTTGATCTTTATTTTTTCACCATTTTACAATTGTATTTTGATTTTTTGTTGTATTATTGAGTCAAAAAAATCATTTTAATTTTGTTCTTTGTAAATTTATTTACTGAAAATTTCAGTACCCTTTCGATGTCCCTATGTAGGGGGGGCATTTTTGTCGGTGCTTGACCTTCCTACCAAACTTAAAAAATGCATGCATAGTCGATGTTTTGAGACATTGCGGTCCAAGAGAGTAATAAATTGTTGAAATTCTTACTAAAGCTCTTAATCAATTACAATTTGACAATCTTATTTCCAAAATTGGTATAATAAACATATGTTTCCAGCATGAGAGGGAGCGTGGAAATGTTGAAAATAACAAATCAAATTCTGCATTCAATTCCACTAATCAAGCTTCTGTCAGCTCCTGCTAGCCATGCATTCAATTCCATTAATCAAGCCTCAATTAGCTCCTCTTGGCTTGCCCAGCCTATCCCAGTGCCACCTGACAATCCGTAGCTCTTGCACCTCCAGCTCCGTGCTGGCAATATGTAGCTCTTGCACCTCCTCTATGAGATGTAAATGCTACCAACCATGTTATTATTCACTTTGGCAATCCATCACTATTTCGCCATCCATATGCAGTCCCCAAATCTCTTATGCAAGCTGCTCTCTCTGGCACACTCTAAAGTTCTTGTGTAATACCAATAGTTGGTGGAAGTTCTTCTTTTAGTGCTGCAGACTATTTTATAATGTTATACATCGCTTATTGTGTACTAGATATTTTTAATTTTGTGTCTTTTTGAATAAACCTGAGTTTTAATTTCCTTGGTTTTTTCGCAACATATAAGAGCTAGTTAGCATATTTATAGCTACAAGTTTGATGGAGTGTATAGGAATTTAATTATAAAAATGAGAGGTTTTACTTTCTTGGTGAGAAGAAAAGATTTTTTAATAGCCCACTTCTGCATGACTTTTAGAGTTTCTGTGCTTTCCCTCAAATCATTTCATCTTCAAAGCTGCAATAACTGCAACTATTAATTTTTTCCCTATTTCTTTGACGATTCTAAACTACGATCTTGCACTTTGTTTTGCTAGTTGATTTCTTGATTCTCCAGATGTGCAGTGGTTTATATTAGTTCTGACATTGCAGGCGTAGAGAAAAGAAAGATGAAGGTGCTGAACCCGAGGCTGATCCAGAGCGAGATCAGCGAACTGTATTTGCTTATCAGGTTACCGTTTTTTTTTTCTTTTAATAATTGAAGTAAGCCGACATTGATTTTTATACATGCACAGATATTATCTTTGGTTGCTTATTTGCTTTATCGCCTTCCTGCTCGCAGATTTGTTTGAAGGCAGATGAAAGAGACGTATATGAGTTTTTCTCAAGGGCTGGAAAGGTCAGTGCGTTGCCATATTAAAGCTTCGTAGATTTTTTCTAAGACATTCGCCACAGCTCCCCTCCCTATCTCACTTCAACCTCTGCTTTTATAATCACCACTTTGATGAATGGAAGGCAACATAGATAATTAACTCACGTATAGTATATAGAGTGTTCTTTTTTCTAGTTATTATCACGCCATTACATTCTCCAGTTTTAATTATTAAGCTAAGATAATATAGAAGCATTTGTTTTCAATATACAGGGCATGCAATTTTAAATGATTAGACCAATGAATGCCTAAAGGCCCTAAACCTTCCTACTACATGTGTTTGTATAGCCTAAGTAGCCATTTGAAGTGGGTATGGAAAGCAGTGCAATAAATACTTGTATTTAATAACTGTATTTATAAATAACCATTGAGTTGCATGGCTGTTGGAGCTAATCCTCGAGTTTGGAAAAAAGATCACCATGGTATTGGTATGTCCTATATATTGAATTTTTTGACTAATAACCATCCCATTTAAGTAGTGATATAGATAAAGGGGGGTCAACTCATGTCCAAAATAAATCAATTTTGGCCTCCCTCGAGTTTACAAGCTCAATCAAAATTGAGCTGAAATTTTAGCTCATTTATGAGCTGGTCTTTAGTTCACTTATTGAACTAAGGGTTAGCTCATTATTAGCTAACATTTAGTTCATAATTATCTTTTTATTAAATGTACTTTTTATTATTTTTATGTCTTTAATTATGTTTGTCTCTTGGAATTCCAAATCGGCTTTTGGAATTCCAAGAAGTGTTGTTTCCCATGTGTGGCTCCTTGACTTTCACCATGGGCTATTGTTTTTTGTGCCTTTGCCCTTGGATTTCCGTCCGGCTGCTAGTTTTCCGATTTAAATTTTAATGTTTTAAATTCCGACACTCCAATGCCGTGTCGGACACGTGTCCATGCAGTGTCCGACGCGTGTCCGTGTCCGACACGTGTCAGACACTGCATACCCTCTTTAAGAGGCGTGTCGGTGCATCATAGATTAGCAATGGTATTTACATTCTTATCTTCCCACAAGGCAATTCCTTCATCTTCAATTTTAAAGCCTTCATCATTTTTTTGTGTTCTCCATTCATTATCAGATTGCACATCATCAACAATCAAAGGATTAATTTCATCATCACCATTTCTGTCTTTATTACTTGAGGGGTCAATCTTTAATTTTTTATTAAACATAATACGAAGAGACTTATTCCCCGAGCTCTTCTATTAGAGAAAAGAAAATAATTTCTAGTACTAGAACCATCTTGTTGAGAATGTAAGAACTATTCTCAATCATTTTCTTTTATAAAAAATCAAGATAATAATTCAGTGCTTTTTATTTATAAAAGAAAAAAAAATTACCCCAAACCACACCTATATGAACACATTTGCTCTCAAATTTCTCCCCTAGCCTACCAATTTGCTTGTAGCCAACCACACTCGAACTGTCTCTTGCTCCGAATGACTCACGAGTCTCGCAGCTTGTGCTCACTTGACCTAAACAGAGCGTTTTCAATTGACTCAAAATGTATGATATATAAGTTTAATATACTTTATATATGAACTATTAAGTATATTGTAAATATACTATAAGTAAACAATTTTTTTTAATATTAATTAATTTGAGGTGCTTAGGCGCATAAATCCTCTAGGTGTGTGCCTCAAATAAAAAAGGCTAAGCATCACTGGGGACATTCCTCATACTGAGTCACACCTTGAAGCTTACACTTCAACCGCTGTTTTAAACCATAGTCCATTCAAAACTTTTTTTGCTTTTAACACGAGCAATCAAAGTAATAAAATTTCAGTCAAAATAGTGAAAATAAGTAGCAAAGACAAGAAAGCTTCTTACCTTCATGATGGACTTAAGTCTTGGCCACTCTATTATTGCCTTTTCCTTTTGAGTTATTGACTTTGATTCTTTGATAAGGGATAACATGTCTAAAAAATACTACATTTTATTATGCGAAGCAAGTAATAATATCACCCGATTTCAATATTTCATAAAGTTCTTGCAAGTGCCATAGTGTTCATTGCAAATTTACTAAATATGCCATCAAGGTTGAAAAATAAAATTTTTTAATGAATGATCATCAACTTTGATTTTTTTTAACACAAATGTTCTTCAAGCACTAAACAATCCGAAAGCATTACCTGCCATTCACCTTAAAGGTTTTTTATTTTTATTTTTCATTTGTCACAGAAATTAAATTCTAGTTTGATGATAGTCACCTTTAGGATCAATTTTTGAAAACATCTGTGTTACTTTCAATCAATTAAATTCAATAACTAAACAAGTTCATTCTTTAAAAAAAATTACCAACTTGCATCTTACGTGATAAAATTTCGTTCACCATGCAATACTGATGACTAATCAAATTAATGGGTAATAATAAAGATAAAAATCACCCCAAAGAGTAGGCTGCATGCCAATACAAGGAGTCATCTCCTTAGAAGTAATCATTCACATCTATGTATCATTCGAAGAACACACATCCAACAAGCACATATGCAAGAAAATTGTGATGGACTGGCTAAGCCGATCCAACCAATCAACCCTGCCTCAACAAGGGGGGTGGTTTAACTGGCCGACTGAAGAGCTCTGTGGGCCCCACTAGTGTGGGCGACAGGTAAGGAGAGAGGGTGTCTTGAAGGGGATTAATTCTACCTTTAATTACTTACCATAGAAAATCAAAATTTGGAGGGAATTATGAATGTTTATTTAGGGAAAGTGGGATGATTTAGATTTTGGAGGGAATTAGGAAGGTTTATTTAATGAAAGAAGGCTGATTTGAATTCAGATTTGGGAGGAAATTAGGAATGTTTATTTATGATTAATGAGGTTGTTTTATTTTTATAATATGATTTTGTGTTTGGAGTAATTTCTTTGGTGTTGTTCCTAGCCATGCCTAGGGTTTAAGTAGAGTCTATCTACCACTTGAATTGTAAATTAGCTTGTATCTTAGTTTGTTGTGCTGATATCAATAAAATTAGTTAATTAGCCCATAATCTCATTCTTTCTCCCTAATTTTTGCTACGTTTTCTCTTGGTTATTATTGTTTGTTAGTTTTGTGGAGATCAGATTCCCATCAAATTAAAATAGAAAATTTATTTCACCCTTTAATGTTTAATGATTTTCTACAAGCCTTAGGTTTCTTACTCACTGAATAGGAAACAATTTACCCAAACTTGAGAGGCTACATAAAGGCAAGATGCAGTTCGAGTGTGAACAATAGTTGAGAACGGTAGCGGTGAAAAGGTTACATAATAACATGAATAGGAATAATAACAATGAAATATTGAAGGTGACAACTGCAAGCACATTAACAACAACAGGGTGAAAAATATTTTTATATTTTGACATGAATATACTTCCAAATTTCCATCTAGATTTAGGTGATGTAAATTTTTTTTTTGTTGATGGTTACTTCGAAACCTCTTAAGATAGTTTGCTGTAAATTGATCATTTACTTCATTCTTGTTTACCCATCAAAATATTTATATAACTATTTAGTATATGAAACTTCACTTTGGTTATTATTAATATTGGGTATTTACATACATACCATCATATATCTTTCTATTTACATATCAAACACCTAAAACTTTAATATTGTGTACATACCATCCATTGTTCACTTTTATATCAAATTTGGGTGGTAGAAATGAATTATATGAGTGGTATGAAGGAAATATGGGTGGCTCATTTGATATTAAAATAATAATATAGGATAGTATGCATGTAATATTAAAGTTTTGGGTGTTAGATATGTAAATAAGATGGTATAGAGTGATATGTATGTAATTTCCCATATATATATAAGTGATGAAGTTTGGTATTTGGTATAAGACTTTTGAAAAATAATCAATTCGAAGAATTTTTTTATGAAGTGGATATTTCATTTTAGTTCATGAGGGAACATATATAGGCCTCTCCATTTATGACTTCATTCATAGTGTTGTCGCCAAATGAGGCTTCATTTTTTTTTTTTGGCTTTCAATTGCTTTTCCTTTCTCAATCAGAAAAATATTGAGTTTTCCATACTTTTGGATGGTCACTTGCCCTAAAAGTGTGCTTTTAACTCTTGTAAAGTAGGTTGCATTCAAAAGTAAAGATAATGATTTTTCCATTTCAAAAAATAGGTTTCCTTGGTTTTAATATTGCCAAAATCCAAAATTGCCCTCTTATTTCCCATCTAATCACATACACTACATATATTATAATGATGCTTGAAACTCCTCATGTTCGAATGTCTCACCTTGCTTGGAGGATGGGATCACAGAGATCTTCAGATGAGTCAGAGCTTCTTATTAGTTCAAGAAGGAAGTAAATCATTAAAAAAAGCTATTTTGTTCTTTTGGTTGCATTTTCTTTTAAAATTTTTATCAGAATTGTGATTGTTATCGAATGCATCTCTAATTTTTCAAAGGATTTGAAATGGGTTAGAAATCATTTGTTATAATTTCCAAGGTTTGAAAACCAGATCGGATAGGAAATAGGATGAGAGGACCAGATCGGATAGGAAATAGGAATGAGAGGACGTTATAGTGGGCATTATTTAATATCAATAAATTGCTCATAAATCAAAACATTCTCGATTTGGTATGCACCATCAAGTCTAATATAAATATAATTTCAAACTTAAAGTACAAATAGTAGATTCTAAGATGAAATATATTTAAAATTCATTGCCAAAAAATGTCTCACAAAAGATCTACTCCCTAAAGTTGGCTCCTCAATCTCATTCCACAAAGCTTGCAATTCGTAAATTTAACTTTTTTAGTTGTAGCATCACTAATTTCGAAAGGCGGTACACTTCAGTAAAATATGAAGTGATATGAAAACTATTATGTACATAAAGTAAAGTATATATACAAATAATATTAACAAAACATAGAAGTAATGAGAAATAAACTAATATTTCATTTCATTGTTGCAAATCATAATGAAAGTGCATCAGTAAAGTTTGAACAACAACATAAGTGA